AGAAACCAGTTTTCAACAGCTGATTATTATACCTGCAGCGATCAGAACAGACAAGTACACAGTAACAGGAACTCATGAGTGGTTGTCCAGAACTAGAAAGGCCAGGTTCCTCTATGGAGTGACAAAAACTCTAAAATTGATAGTGGCAATAGCTGCACGAATCTTTTCCCCCTTTTGGTTTTTCGAGACAGGGTTTCTCTGTGGCTTTGGAGGCTGTCCTGGAACTCGCTCTTGTAGACCAGGCTGATCTTGAACTCACAGAGATCTGCCTGCCTCTGCCTCCCGAGTGCTGGGATTAAAGGCATGCACCAACACCGCCCAGCTAGATGCCTGGATATTAAATACATCAAGGAGACACAAAATTGAACATCTTAAATGGGTAAATTATATAGAATTTGAATTGTATCTCAATAAATTTGTTACACAAAAAAGACAAGAAAACCAATTCCATAATAGGAAACATACAGCATGTCAACTTTATTAACTTCTTCCATTCCCTTTTCAACAACAAATCAGTACCCCACCATAGCCCCCTGCCTTAACCCAAGTCAGCAAACACAAACCACTTACTATTGCCTCGTGAGGAAAGGACAACACTGCTGGTAATGCCCACGGAATCAAAGCAAGAAGGAGCTGCTCACACATTGTCACAAAGGGCCTCCCGGGAGCACCATATTTGGAACTGAGAAATACTCCCTAAAGACCCACAAGTACTGCAAAGTTAATACAGGTCACGAGACGTCAATGCAGCCCACTTACGATGAACAAATAGAAAATCTCCAAGCAACACTCTATAGATATAGTTGGCTGAGTATAAGGGAGCAAATGAGATGAAGGAGTCCTTACGGTCAGCTCGTTTTGCATACTTTACATGACCTGCTCTGATACACAAGTGAGCCTGATTTGTTTTTTCAACCATACAACATTTAGCCTTTCTCTACCAGGTACCAGGTAGCAGGGTAGGGCTGAGAAAACAAGATGATTAATACCTGATACTTAAGAAATTGTTGTTAGTTATCTAGCTAATTTACCAATCAGAGATGAAAACCCATTCAACTACAGGGAACTTTGAATCTTTTGTTGGAGATGTGGGTGTGCATAAATAAATAGGCAAACAAACACACACTCTTTTGAATATGTAAAAAGCTTGCTTCAAATCTAGCAGCCACCCACATTTCAGGGAACCAAGCAGTATGGGTTGAGGTGCAATGTCGGCTTCGTGATTACAATTATAAAAGTAAAAACCAATCAGATTCTGAGTGTTGCAAGAAAAGGTAAACATAAAAGTGGCAACAATTACTCAGGAAGCCAAGTTTAATATTATTAGTGTTAATGGAAGAAAACTGAGCCCCAACAGTAAAATACAGTATTGATTTAGTAAAAATAATTCAGCGTAATGTAGGATCTGTTTTGTAAATGGGCAGACAGCAGAGATGGCCGAATCAAACCTAGCAGGATAAGAAGCCTGTTGGGTGCTTCCTGGCATCAAGTTTACCAGTTACTCATCAGGTGACGGTACAGGTGCACCTGGCCCATCTGGGTCCCACGTGGAAATATTCCTAAACATAACCTAGCAATCCCACATTTCAGAGTTCACATTCTAAGTATTATAAGCAGTACATGGTGACTCACACCTGTAACCCCAATATTTGGGTAACGGAGACGAAAGGCTAGCCCAGGCAATCTAGCAAATTCCATGCCAGGAGGGCTATACAATGAAACTCTGTCTTAAAAACACCCAAAATAAATCAACAAACAAGCAAAGCAAACAAACAACAATGAGAGCTTTACAGGTAGCTTGAGATTTATAGAGTTGTATTATATTTAAACGAGCTAAATATTCCAAAAAAAAGGGACACTGTCAAGACTGCACAGTCAGATGAGAACAGAAACACAAAACAAGTGAGCCCTTCAAAAGGAAAGAAGAAAGTTTAAGATGGAGTCAAAGAGGAAGAAAACACTGGAGGGCCTATGGGAGCATCAGCCACAAGAGACAGTAAGACAAAAGCGATTACTGGACACAAAGAGCCCACCCCTAGGATGCAAGAGCCAATGTATAAACAGTACAGAGGCCCACGTGTCTCACACCACCACCTCAAAACATGCTACAAAAACGAATGGGGCTAGAGAGTAGGTAACAGTGAAAACGGTGTCTATTATGTAGCTCTTCTATACTGCACTGATTACGTAGCTATCAGTTATGAGACGAGTCAGGACAATGTGCTGAAGTCAGTTTTCTCCTACTCTATGGGTACCAGGGACAAACTCTCAGGTCTTCAGGCTTGGTGGCTACTGCCTTTACCCACTGAACAGTATCTCCAAGCCCTAGCTCCTCAATTTTAACCCCCATCCCATAACTGCAGAGTTAAAAACAGGAAGCATTTTAGCCAATATAAATCACATGCCAAACCAGGAAACTGGAAAAGATTGAAATCTTGGGCCTAGAGGGATGGTTTAGTAGCTAAGAGAATGTCACCCTGGCTGTCTTGGAATTCAGTCTGTAAACCAGGCTGGCCTTGAACTCAGAGATCCACCTGCCTTCCTGAGTGCTGGGATTAAAGGTGTGCACTACCCAGCTCCAAATACTATAATATCTTTTTTTCTTTTTTTTCGAGGCAGGGTTTCTCTGTATTGTTTTGGAGCCTGTCCTGGAACTCAAACTCACTCTGTAGACCAGGCTGGCCTAGAACTCACAGAGATCTGCCTGCCTCTGCCTCCCGAGTGCTGGGATTAAAGGCGTGCACCACCAATGCCCAGCTCAATATCTTGATATTAAACAATTTATTCTAAATAATTCACAGGCAAAATAAATATCAAAAAAGCTTTAAAGCATTTTGAAAAGCAAGATAATGAAAGCAAAATAAGTAAAAGAAAATCAAAATTTGTGATAAGAGCAGTTACTGTTCCAGGACAGCCAGAACTACACAGACACCCTGTCTTGAAAAACAAAAATAAATGAATTTGGGGGGGGGGCACAAAACATATTTGATTGTGTATACCAGCAACTCTAAGGAATGAAGCAGAAAACTACCAAAGCTGCACAGTAACTCATGCTTGGAAGAATAGTGAGGGATGGGCACGAGAACTCAAATAGGTCAGGAGTGGATTAATTACAGTACTAGCTTCATTACTCAAATTTTAATTGATAAGCATGATAATAAAATGTTCCTCTCAGAGGTGTTCTTGATCATATACACGTTTTAAGTTCACAGAGTGTCACAGCTGTCCACAGGATCCCACAGTCCAAGTCTCAGCTCCATCCTGTGCAGTCTGAGAGACCTCTTTCTTTATATATCAGTTAAAGATAAAAGCTGAGTACTGAGTTAATGAGAAAGGTTTTTTTAATCACGCATTTGTATGTCTGCCTACATGTGCATGGCATACATGCAAGTCAGAGGACCACTTGCAGGAGTTGGCTCTCTAACTTTATTGTAAGGATCCCGGGATGGAGCTCAGGTGTAGATGTTTAGTAGCAGTGCCTTTACTGGCTGAGGCACCACGATGATACACAATAGCAGAGATCCGTCTGCTTCTGCCTCCCGAGTGCTGGGATTAAAGGCAGGCTGCAAGACACAGAGGAACTCTGTCTACAGAAGTTCCTTCCAACTACAGAACTCTCAAGACAAAAACAAAACAAAACAGAAACAAAGATGAGCTTAAAGTAGATAACTGTTAGAGGAGCTCCTAGGCCTCCTGGTGACCTACACACAAATAACCGTGTGACCACCATATCCTGTTGTGACCATCACTTGTTTGGATGTGATGATTCCACTAAGGAAACAGAAAGGAACAGCTTCAAACATTAGTCTCCTATACTGTCCAGCAGTAACGCAGTGGCCCTAGCAGGCACACTGTCGGCAGTAGAGTGGGTGCTGTCACTTCTGAACCACTGTGTAGACTTCATAGGACTAAAGCAAATTCTCTTTTAACCAATTCCACCTGGATAGACTCAGATTTCATTTCCTTCTTTCTTTATTCCTTCCTTCCTTTCTTTTGTTTTGTTTTTGAGACAGGGTTTCTCTGTGGCTTTGGAGGCTGTCCTGGAATCCTGGAACTTGCTCTTGTTGAGTAGGCTGGACTCGAACTCAGAGATCCAACTGCCTCTGTCTCTTGAGTGCTGGGACTAAGGGTGTGAGCCACCACTGCCCGGCTGTTTTGGTTTCTTAAGACAGAGTTTCTCCATGTAGCCCAGGCTATCCTGGAACTCACTATGTAGACCAGGCATCCCCTTGCTTCTGCCCGCTAAGCCCGAGATTACAGGTATAAACCACACGCCAGCACTCATGAGGTTTCAAATATGTGATTTTATTTATTTATTATTATTTTACTTAGTAGGGAGAGCAGATATGTGCATGTGACTGTCTTTTGCACACAGATAGCCAGAGATGCCTATGGGGCCGAAGTTACAGGTGATTGTTGAATAAAAAGTGAAATAAAAGTAGGGCCGGGCGGTGGTGGCGCAAGCCTTTAATCCCAAGCAGAGGCAGGTGGATCTCTGTGAGTTCGAGGCCGGGCTGGTCTACAGAGCTAGTTCCAGGACAGCCTCCAAAACAATACAGAGAAACTCTGTCTCGAAAAACCAAGGAAAAAAAAAAGTAGGAGGGAATGACTAGTCCTAAAGTATAAAGAAGATTTTTCCTGTAGATATAAGGGAGAAGGCAGCAGAGGGAAGCATCCAGACTGAACATGGCTGGCAGACTAAACCAGACCATGAAAAGAGAGCGGAGAGGGAGAGCCTCCAAACAATACAGGGAAACCCTGTCTCATAAAACCAAAAAAAAAAAAAAAAAATGTATTTATGTCATTTAACTTTTGTATATAAATTGTGTATGAGTGTGTGTGTTGTGTGTTGTGTGTGGGGGTGCCTACAAGTTACAAGAGAGACTCTCAAAGTCAGTAAGAGCAGCAAGCACTCTGAACTGCAGCACAGTTCATTTTTAAATCCAAGCAACACCACAGTACCCACTCCTAAGCTCTCTCAGGTGACCCCATAGACTTACTGTGTTGAGTGCATTGAGAGTGGTGTCGTCCCGAGACGCTGCGACACAGCCGTCCTCTGTAGAGCCTCCGTCACACATCCCTGCAAATGCCGCCATGCTCCTTTGGGGAAAGGACAGAGTTTCTTTCATCAGCACTCAGCAACATCCAGATACAGGGTGACTTTTAATCTTCAGTTTGCAAGATCATTTTTAGCCAAGATCCCACTAATCCATCATGTCACATCATGTCTGTCCTCAGCCCGGCTGCAAGAATCCAACCCTTCCTCTCTTGGGACAGAAGTGTGGCTTACAGTGGGTCCATGTCAGTTCTCCTGTTTTGCTCATAGTAAAATTTCAAATCTGAGCACATGAATGGTCTACTTCCCATGGCATTCCACTGGGTTATGGATATGCACTATTATCATGCATTAATTAAAATTTTAAGTCCCCAGAAAACAGATGAAATTAATTTCTCTCATCTGTGTATCAACTACTTTTCAGTGACCTTAAAGTGAAAAGTAACAGAACAGGAAAAGACAGCCACCCATGCCATTACATTAATCTCACATCGACTGTGTGAAAAGCTCTGTGAACTACACACGGCCAAGGTATGCACGTCAGTCTTTGCTACTGTACACAGGTGAGGCTGCTGTGAGTCCCCAACGTTATTCCAGACAAAGGGAGGCTCTGTCTGCACTATGGCATGAAGGGACTCAAGTTTCTGTTTTCATCTTTGTCATTTACATATATTCACAAATTCTATGGGAAAACCTCAGATAAGTGCTCCCGTGTAGGGAAGCCATACAAATGTCAAGTTTGTGAGACACCAATGAGCAGCCACAACACACAGAGCAGGAACTCGGTAATGTAAGTGTTAGCTAAGGCGAACACCTCTCTCAACTGCATTGTGAGGCGCTGAAAGTTACTTGTATGGCTGCAGGTGCTCCTACTGAGGAGTTCTCAAGTCTGACGTGAGGCAAATCTCAAGAAGAGAAGCAATGGCAGGCTATCAGGCAAGAAGGGTCACCAGAGCAGAAAGCAATACTCAGAGTAAAAAAGGCCCCGTCACTACTAAGGAGGGAAGGGAGACATTGTGCTGACACTTGTCACTCCGTATGTCCTCATTCAGAAACAGCTGGGGCAATTCCATTACCTTGCTGCCCTCAAGTACATGAGGAGGTCACAGTCACTGACGCCAGGCATCCAGACTAGCTCCTCATGCTGAGTCACAGTGTCACCATCTGGAGAAGGAAACGGCTGCAAATCTGGGAGTTTGGCCTGAAAGACAGGGATGAAGAAGTCACTCTCAAGCTAAGCACTAGAAAGAGGCATCCCAGCATGCAGTCTCCTGGGACTGGAGCACTGTACACTTTTTCCTTGGGCAGCAGAAAGTTAAGAGCAAAATCGTGAATCTCTGAAACTGGCAGCACCACAAATCCCATCATTTCACCACAGCTGTCACAATAGACTGCTTAATCCCCAATTAAGGAGCAGTGAGGGGTATCAAAGCCAACCTGTACCAATGTGATCTACAGGGTGAAACAATCGGATACACAAATAGGACATACCATAGAGCGACAGCTCCCAATGAGGACAGACAGACATCTTCAGTACACACTTAAAGACAGTGTGTCACAGTCAAAATAACAACATGAGCTACTAAAGTTAACACTAAAAACAGCTTAGTTAACTTAAGAGGTAGAAAGAGCATGGGTGGGGAAGAATAGAACTGCTTATCAAGGGACAGGTAGGAACTCTCTAGAATAAATGAGATGAAACCTAACTATAAGCTTACTATGACTACGCAGAGTGAATCAGACAGTATACATAAATCATCACATGTAAGGCATATTACCCAAATAAGAATAGAAGTGATGAGCCGGGTGTTGGTGGCGCACGGCTTTAATCCCAGCACTTGGGAGGCAGAGACAAGTGGATCTCTGTGAGTTCGAGGTCAGCCTGGTCTACAAGAGCTAGTTCCAGGACAGCCTCCAAAACCACAAAGAAACCCTGTCTCGAAAAACCAAGAAAAAAAAAAAAAAAAAAAAAGAACAGAAGTGATGAACAACCGAGATTCTAAGCCCTAAGATGTCTCACCTGCACTCTAAGGCAGAACAGACGTAAGCAGGCAGGTACAATAGCTGCCTGTAACCACCAGAGGCAAGTATCCAACATTCTTACTGTGAGATCCAAAATTATGGGGTTTTTTTTTTTTTGGTTTTTCGAGACAGGGTTTCTCTGTGGCTTTGGAGGCTGTCCTGGAACTCACTTGGTAGTCCAGGCTGGTCTCAAACTCACAGAGATCCGCCTGCCTCTGCCTCCCCAAAATTATGTTTTAATTACTGTGCCTAAGAGATACATAAACAAAAATGCTCCTAACCTGTAAGGCCCTTACCCAAAGACAGACACTTCCTGAGATGTTACAGGTTGTTTTCAACAGCCACGTTTTCACTTCCCTAAACAACTGTGGGTAACCCAACTGCACCGGATGTGCTTGGTCACACATAGGCAGGAGGTACCTAGACAGGAAGTACCTCAGGATGGATGCTTGCCCCCAAATGGACTCAGGCTGTAAGTACATTATGTAGTCAGCCAGTGGTGGTGGTGGCACATGCCTCTAATCCTAGCACTCAGGAGGAGGCAGGTTGATATGTGTGAGTTCAAGAATAGCCTGGTCTACATAGAGAAACCTTGTCCCACAAACCAAAAGCACCTGGGTAACATAACTCATGGACATTTTCTGGGGACTCTGGAATAGACCTAGTCAGAGTCCACTGGCCAGTATTTAATTAAAGCTTACTTCAAATTTGGCTCAAAATGATGCTAGTTGTCTTATGTTGCTTTGATATTTTACACTATGCTGAAGTTCCCAGGAATAGTTCATTATAAGCAGACAAGTGTAGATGCAAACACTGGAAACGCAGAGTGACACATACCTAAGTCTAGCAGGTCAGCAGACACAACAAACACAACTCCGCACCCCAATCTGCAGCAGGCAGAGCACAAGGTAAAACAGACAGAGGACAGCACTGCCCCACCCAGGGGACACCCCTGTCTCCCAGGAACTGTCTACCTCACCCCTGCTTGCTCCGGCCCCACCCAGAAATCGTCATTTTGAGTGAAAGCTCCGATTTTCCAATGAGGGACGGTCAAGTTTTAAGGCTGTTCTGTGAGAAAACACAACACCCCTACCCGCTGTCCCAGCAGGCTACACCTCTGCTCTCCAGGCCACCCTCACTTTCCCCAAACAAGGAAACTATTGGCTGGCTGGCTGGGGGCGGGGGGGGGCGGAGTGCTGTTTGGAGGCAGGGTCTTGCTATACAGTCTAGACACAATTCTCTTGCCTCCGCCTGCCAAACGCTGGCTTTTTTTTTTTTTTTTTTTTTTTTTGGTTTTTCGAGACAGGGTTTCTGTGTATTGTTTTGGAGGCTATCCTGGAACTAGCTCTGTAGACCAGGCTGGCCTCGAACTCACAGAGATCTACCTGCCTCTGCCTCCAGAGTGCTGGGATTAAAGGCGTGTGCCACCAACGCCTGGCTAAATGCTGGCATTACAGGTATGTGGCACCACTCTAAGCAAAATAATGATTTTCCACACTTAGTACTCACTTTATAACATTTTAGTGGGTGCTATCAGGCCCTTTCCCCCAAAGGCCAAGGCTGGGTAAACAGAAGGGTTGTTATGGGTCAACAAGCCTAAAGGTTTGTGTTTCCTAGAAAAGCAGGAAACACCCTCACTCCTCCAGGAGCCTTTCCCCAAAGCCAGCTACCTCTGTCAAGGCCCTGGTTCTGCACAATCCTGACAGCCTGTGTCAGTTTAGATCCTCTCGCTGTCATATAAAATCTGTTTGCTTTTCCACCACTGTGGTCTCTGTCCCCTCACCCTGCTCCCAGAGGGAGTCTTGGCAATTTAATCACCAATAAAACAGAATGATCTAGTTCAGTTCTACTTAATATATAGTGAAAATGCTGTTTTAAGATGAAAACAGGATGGATATCTGTTTGGAAAGTCATTGACATGAGTACTTGGCTTTCCATCCCCTGGCCAAGTCTAGTGTCTAGTATAACAATGGTTCGTGATTATATTAATTGAAAATTACTATAGTTGGGGGAACATGAACCAATTCCTGGGGGAGGGTGTGACTAGAAATAGACTGGGTGACATAGAGAAAGACAAGGCTTTTAAAGGTAGAATTTGAGGTCTAGACAAGAGGGATGCAAGTTAACACCAGGCTCCATTCTTGGACTGGCTTCCAGGCAGGCCCCTTTCTGAGGACATACGCAAAGTGTGCTACAAACACCAATGCACACAGGACATCCTCTGAGGCATTGCTCATAACTGGGCAGCTCAGAAATGCTGTATCACACACAAGCTACAGGAGGCAACCTCCGACTACAGACCAGCTCTGAAAGCAAACAGAAAGAATGGAGGCCCAGAGAGTTTACATTATCTACCATTTATGTAAAGGGGGAGAGGGAATAAAGAAATTGGGGGAAAACAACACTATTACAAAATCTCCACAGTAAATGAAAAATTACATGCAACAACAGTTGAATTGGTTCTACTCAGGGACTATTTCAATGCTAAAACATGCCTGCAGTCCTCATGGGATACAGTCAAAAGGTAAAACAAAATTTAACAATACACTGCTTCCAAGCAACTGGGGGTATAACTCACTGGCAAAGTATGCGTAATGCACATGCAAGGGCCTGGACTAAATCCCAGCACCAAAGGAAAAACATTCCAATAGTCTACAGCAGTGTGAATATTGTTGTTCTGGGCTATACAATAAAGGGGTAAAGTAATTAGGTTCGTGTCAATCAAATACAGAGAAAGATACTCACTTAGATGAAAGCAGAGAGGGAAGAATAGGAACGCTGAAGTTTTAAATTGAAGTTAAGTATCAGAATGAGCTTATGACAGTTTTACACCTACAGACACGCAAACAGGATCAGAAGGGGGGGCAGGAGGGAGGAAGAAGGAGGGGTGTTTGAGATTACTGATTTGGGGCTGCAGAGTCAGCTCAGAGTTCAGTTCCCAGCACCCATATCAGGCAGTTTGCACAGTTAACTGTAACTCCAGGTCCAGGGGGAATCCAATGTCTTCTGCTCTCCTTGGGCAACTAAACTCAAGTGTGCATGCCTCCACAGACACAAGCATGTACATATAACTCTAAAGCTAAAACAAATATATATATATATATATATATATTTTTTTTTCGAAACAGGGTTTCTCTGCAACTTTGGAGGCTGTCCTGGAACTCGCTCTGTAGACCAGGCTGGCCTCGAACTCACAGAGATCCACCTGCCTCTGCCTCCCAAGTGCTGGGATTAAAGGCATGCGCCACCACCACCCAGCTAAAGCAAATATTTTAAAAAGGAAATTACTGTATGTAGCAGTCAGGTAAACAGGGGAGTCAGTTTTCTCCTTCTATCATGTAGGTGGCATGATCACACTTTGATTGACTGCCATGCTTGAGCCATCTTGCCAGTCAAACTGCAAGTGACCACTAAGCCATTTTCCAACCCCAAGATATTACTGATTTTAGTTTGGTGTGAAATACTATAGTTGTGTCTTTTATAAGAGGGCTTCTTTCTCATTGTGCTATATGTAATTAAAAGGATGTATTGATTCATTTCAGTCATCACATGTAGGAAGCATCCTGGGGGAGCAGACAAATCAAATCTTACTAGGACTCTACAAAACTCAGTACCACTGAGGACTGTCTTTTTCCCTAAGAAAAAAGCTAAACACCTTAAGAAGGTAATTTAGATTTTGCTACTCCAAAACTTGACTTTAAAATAATTTCCAGATCTGATATTAGATGAGCATTTGATTTAAATGAAACTGTACAATATTCAAGTCTAGCAAACCTGCTTCTTTCTGGGGCTAGGTGCATCTTCCCCTGATGTCACCTTTTCTGTTAGAGTAGAAAATAAGTCTTAAGTCAAAATCCGGTATGAAGATCCTGCAACCCTAGAAACAAACTATGGGAAAGGAAATGGGTAGGAAAATGTAACACAGGACAAGAAAGAAAATGAGAGTATGAGAGTGTGACCGTGTGACCGAGCAATGCCAGGCAAACACTGCACCCTTCATTTGAAACCCAGCAGAAGTGACGAGATGGCTCAAGGGGTAAAGGCGCCTGCTGACAGAGCAGGTCAGCCTCAGCTGGGCCCCAAGCACCACACAGTAGGAGGAAACCCATTCCAGCAAGTTGTCCTGAGAGGAACACAGGTGCTCCCCACACACACATTAAACAGGTAACTACAAACAAATCAGGGCCCAAGGATGATTAGAGAGCATGCCTGGAATTTCAGCACTCAGAAGTCAGTGAGCTACATAGTAACACTTCGTTAAAACAGACAGACAAATAAAACAAGGGCTGGCCCAGAGAGTTCATTGGTTAAGAGTACATAACTACTCAAGCCTAGTTTCCAGAACCCATGCTGGACAGCCCATAACTACAATTCCAGGGGACCTCAGGCTGCTGTCTGGCCTCCACAAACACTATACTCATGCACATATACCCACACTCAGGCACACATAGGTATACATGTAATTAAAATAAGCAGGGCATGGTGATGCATACTTGAATCCCACAGTTGGAAAGAAAGGTCAGGCAGATCTCTCTGAGTTTGAGACCAGCCTAGTCTACATACTGAGTTCCAGGCTGGCCAGGGCTACAGAGAGACAACCTGTCTCAAATACTAACAACAACAAAAATGTATCTCAAAAGAACAAAGTAAACAACCAAAACCAACCAACCAAAAGAAACAAACAAAAGCCCAGGAACTCCAAAACCAGGGAGAGCGTAGTGCAGGTCACAGGTAGAGACTACTTAGTGTGTGCAAGGCCCTGGTCCTCTCCCACCACTTGTAAAACGCCACCCAGTAAATCCACAGTCCAGAGGCATTCCTGGTCAGGCCCACCTAACAGCCCATTCCAGGAAGACAGAAATGAAGGGGTTGCCTAGCAACTGCATATTTCTGCCTTTATCATAAAACAAGAACCATCCAGAAACTATAAGCCCCGTAAATATGCCTTCAAGTTTTTACTTTTCTCTCATCAAAGAGGTAAAATAAGTTCTGAAGAAATGTACGTCTCACGGGCTGGAGAGATGGCTCAGTGGTTAAGAGCACTGACTGTTCTTCCAGAGGTCCTGAGTTCAATTCCCAGCAACCACATGGTGGCTCACAACCACCTTGAATGAGATCTGGTGCCCTCTACTGGCATGCTGAAGATTGTATACATAATAAATAAATAAAATATTAAAAAAAAAAAGAAATGTACGTCTCACATAAACAACCAGGAGACATGTAAACCCTTTGTGCGCACATAAGGACTGCTATGGCCTGTAATCTTTGTCTTTGCATGTCAAGCATATTAGCTGGGTCCCCATCACACAGTTCACTCAAGTGACATCCAGAGACAGCATGTTAAACCCATGTCTCTCAGTGGCTAGCAATGGACACATGACCCCACCCATGTGCATGTCAGAAACCCTGAATGCAGCTCTCTGTGAAGGACAGACAAGCACCTGCAGAGTATCAGCAGTGCCCAGGAGAGTCCAGGTCGGCTGGGTAGGACAGCCCAGCGGGAGGTGTCAACAACCATGGCAGCCAGGGTGCTCACCCAATTAGAGCTGTCTAAGTAGTCAGAAGTAGAGGACTTCAGCATACCGAACAGACGCCAGAGGGCACACCTCACCACACGAGGTCCAGCTGAAGAGAAACAGCCATCCTGACTTTCTGAAGGAAACGGTTTACAAGAATACTTTTCTTTCTCCTTCCTCATAGTGGTGATAGGACTGGAACAGACCCTCACACAAAGGGCCAGTGCTCCACCACTGAGCAACAGTCTCAGCCTTCCTTTAAAAAATTGTTTCTGGGCTGGAGAGATGGCTCAGCGGTTAAGAGTACTGGCTGTTCTTCCAGAGGTCTTGAGTTCAATTCCCGGCAAACACATGGTGGCTCACAACCATCTGTAATGAGATCTGGTGCCCTCTTCTGGCCTGCAGGCCAGAATACTGTATACATAATAAATAAATCTTAAAAACAAAAAAAATAATAAATTGTTTCTTTTTATAGGTATGAGTAGTATGTATGTATGTATGTATGTATGTACGTATGTATGTTTGTATGTATGTACGTATGTATGTGTACCACACGTGAAGCCAGAGAGGGAACCAGTTCTCCTGGAACTAGAATTACAGATGGTTGCTGGCCACTGTGTGGGTGTCAGAAACTCAACCTGAGTCCTCTGGAAGAAGAGTATGTGCTCTCAACCATGAACCCAGTTCTACAGGTCCCTAAAATATCTTTGAATTAAAGTATGCAGTAACTAAATGTTCAACAATAGATGACTAGATAAACAAACAGTGACACATACACACAATGAATTATTTAGCATTAAATACAACATGGATGGACCCAGACAGGATTCCACAATGAAGCCGGTCCATCACAAAAGATAAATTTGTGTGATTTCACATCTATTGATGAAGACAGTCAAACACTCATCCCAGGAGTAGGGTTACTGCTCAATGACACAGAATTTCAGCATCACAGGTTAGAGAAGATCTGGAGATGGACAGCTATGATGGGTGCTTAATAATGCATTTGTAAAGATACTGCTCTATACCCTCTCAAATGGGTAAACTCTGTGGTTCTGTTTTTTGTGGGGTTTTTTTGCTTTTGGTTAGGGTTTTTTGAGACTGAGTCTCACTGTGTAGCACTAGCTGTCCTGGAAGCCCCTCTATAGGCCAGGTTGGCCTTCAACCCACAGAGATCTGCCTGCTTCTGCATCCTGAGTGCTATAATTAATTTTTTTAAAAAAATTTCCTTTATTTATTATTAACTTTAAAGTTATGGGACAAAATTACAGGTTTCTTTATAACCCTTCCATAAGACTTCCATGAACTCCAGGCTGAGCACACTCAGTCCAGATCACCCTCACGCTTCTCCTATCTACTGTCCCCATCTCCCCCAGTTGCTTTTGTGCCTTTTAATACATGGTGGTCTGGGCAGGAGGAGAGACCTCTGCAGGCAGTGAGCATGCCTATAGCTTAGCCCTGAGGAGACCAAGGCAGGAGAACTGAAAGCTCAAGCACAGCCTGTGCCCTGCAACAGGGTTAAAGCCAGTCTGGGCTACTGATCAAGACACTATCTCAAACATCAACAAAAACAAAAACTTCAGGCTGGGGAGACGGCTCAGTGGGTAAGAACACACTCACTGCACAACCATGATGACCTTACTCCAGAGCCCAGAAGCCACATGAAAAGCCAGGTGTGGAACTGGTGCTGGGTGGGGACAGGATGTTAGAGTTGGTGGGGTTTGATGGCCACCAGCCTAGCTCCAACACCAGCAAAAGAAAAGACTGTCTCAAAGAAACAAAGCGGACAATGGCAGAGCACCTGACATGCTTCTCTGGTTTTGCACACACGCACACCAGTATCCCACAAAACCTTGAACTCTGTATGTAAGGAGAATTACAGAATTCTCCTCATCAATAAATAACCACTCTAAGATGCTCCTCAAAAGAATAAAGATAAGTGATTTATTTTTATTTCATGTACACTGGTGTTTTTCCTGCACGTATGTCTATATAAGAGTGTCAGAGCCCCCTGAAACTGGAGCTCCAGACAGTTGTGACTGAAGAGCAGCAGGTACTCCTAACCACTGAGCCATCTCTCCAGCCCTCAAGAATAAAGATAAAACAGAATCACAAGAAATAAAAAGCTATTAAGTTTGTAAAATGAAGTTTACCTGATGGCTGGGGCCAACTCGAATTTCCCCTTGGGTACTATTCAGCCTCCTGTAGTGAAGAGAACAGAAGGTTAACACAAAGTTACTCAGATTTATCAAGGGAAGTAATTCACTCCAAGTAGATGAGACATCTTATTTATTTCAATATTTATTTTATGTGTGTGTATGTATGACTGAGTGTATTTGTGTCATCAGACGGACATTCTGAAACCGGAGCTACAGATGGTTGTGAGCTGCCACGTGGGTACTTGGAATCAAACCTGGATCCTCTAGAAGAACAGCAAGTACTTACTCTTAACTGCTGAGCCATCTCTCCACTCCCTTACTATTTCTAACATTGTTTCAGCCACACATGCTTACACACACATGTCCTTAATCTCTTATCCCCTGACTGCAGACTCCTATGCTATCTCCTACACAATCCTGCTTCAGGCAGGATTTCTCCATGTAGCCCTGGCTGTCCTCTTCACACTCACTATGTAGACAAGGGTAAGCTTAAACTTCTGATCTTCCTTCCTTCCTTCCTTCCTTCCTTCCTTCCTTCCTTCCTTCCTTCCTTCCTTCCTGATAGCTGAGATTATGAGTGTGTGTCACCACACACAGTCTATGCATTCTGAAGACCAGCCCAAGGGACCATGCATGCCAGGTAAGTACCCTATCAAACGAGCTACATGCCCAGTCCCACTTTCTTCCTTTACTCCCACCAATGTCTTCATCAAGAGCACTCTTTGGGTGGGGGTGACGGGCGCAGTAGCAAGGACAAGGTGAGAGAGAGCATTAACAACAACAACAGCACGAGCTCCCAGCCCTAAGACTCTTAGAATGTACCTGAAGAGTGGTAGCATCCATCCCCCAATGGGAAAGGGTCTAAATATCACATCAAAAACATAGGATACTCCATTCCAGAAGAAACGTCAAAACATACCAAGAGAAACTAAGCAAACCAGCCAGGCTTCCAATGTCCAATCAGCAGCCCATAGGCCACAAGCAGCCAGATTGACTAAGTCTGTGGCACAACCAAAACTGGTAATTTCTGATGATGGCTTTATGATGCCACTGTGCAGTTCTCAGTAAGCTCTGGGTGCCAAACAGCTGCACACCCAAAAGCTCAACCAATCCCTGCCCCAGGTGACAAAGGTGTTCATTTGTTGTTTTGTCACCCACGCCCCCAAACCACCAAGTCCCTCAGTCTGGAGTGAACTGGGTGCCTCTGGAGGAGACAGAGAGCAGTACAGCAAGGCAGACGGTAGGCATTTTCAAGAGGGAATAAAACACATGCACAGCAGAGGCACAAGAAAGGGCTCTGGTGGTGAAGACTCACACCAAGGGCTCACTACTCTGCTGCAGCAGGGATCCATGTCCCTTTCTGACACACAAGCTTGTAGCTCCACTGTTCTAGTAGGTTTCTGCCTCAAGGACTATGCCAAGGATTCAGCTAGCCAGGTCATGACTACTCTCCAAAACTGACCTCTTGGGGTTTGCTTTTTGTTTTTGTTTTGCAAGACAGGATTTCTCTGTGTAGCCCAGGATGTGCTGAAACTCACTCTGTAGACCAGACTGGCCTTGGTACTCAGAGATCCACCTGTCTCTGGCTCCAGAATGTTAGAATTAAAGGCATGAGCTGCCACACTCAAGCCTAACACCTTGTTTTTTAAGTTGGTGTCAGCCACTATTTCCATCCTAACATGTCCATTTCTATTTCCTGGGTAACCATGAGCAAAATAACCCACCAAAGCATTTCCACGGACTTTCCAAATGCTTTTCTGACTACAAGTAGCTCCAGCCAAGACCTATTACACCTCAAAAAGGTTAAGTCACAGCTCAATCTTCAGCCCGCTCTAGAATGTCTGTGCTATTTTAGGGTTCCCTAATGGTTGATTACAAAATCTTTCTGATACCGTTGATGCCCACAATGCCAAAGAAATGTGCCACAAAACGAAAACAACCCTCAAGCCCTTATGGAACTATGTATACCCTCCCATTTCTAAAATATATAGGAGGGGGCTAACATGAAGGTACATGCCTGCAATCCTAACACTTAAGAGGGTTCAGACAGGACGCTTATAATTCAAGGACAGCTTTGGCTACACAAAGAAAGCATGTTTTTAAAAACTCTCCCAAAGTCAGGCGGTGGTGAAGCATGCTTTTAATAGCAGCACTCAGGAGGCAGAGGCAGGCAAATCTTAAGAGTTCAAGGCCAGCCTGGTCTACAGAGCCCAAGATCAATACACAGAGAAACTGTCTCAAAGAAACAACAAACATGAAAAAAGGAGGACCAGAGAGATAGCTCAACAGTTAAGAGCATGGGCTGTACTTTTAGAGGTCTGAATTCAATTTCCAGCACTCACAAGGTAGCTCCTAACTGTCTACAATGGGATCTGATGCCTTCTTCTGGTGAGCAGCGGTACATGTGGACCAGGTGTCCATATACATAAAATATGTAAATAAATAAATCTTTAAAAATAAAATAGAATTAATAATTCTGAAAAGAACTGGGCCGTGGTGGTACACACCTTTAATCCCAGCACTCAGGAGGCAGAGGCAGGCGGGTCTCTGTAAGTTCAAGGCCAGCCTGGTCTACAGAGCGAGTTCTAGGACAGCCTCCAAAGCCACAGAAAAACCCTGTCTCAAAAAAAAAAAAAAAAAAAGAAAAAGAGAGAAAAAAAAAATAAAGAATTAACAAAGAAGAGCCCTAGAGGACATGCAGTGGACACTGAGACTCTGCTCCCGCCTACTGCTGCTGCTTCCCTACAGGCCTTCCCGGCCTCCCTGCTGCTCCTAGGCAGCCCCTTGGTGGCTGCCCCAGAGGGTCACAGCAGTGGCTCAAGATCTTACAGAAGATGAAGAAACAATGGAAGACCCGATGATTGAAGATGAAGTAGAAGAAGATGAACCCACAGATTTGGCAGAAGATAAAGATGTGTCTGGTGAACCAGAAGCGTCACCGAGTGCAGACACAACCATCTTATTTGTAAAAGGAGAAGATTTTCCAGCAAACAACATCGTGTAGTTCCTGGCAAGCTTTACAAACAAGGTGACAGAAGATTTTATTTTTGAATTGCTAGATGCTTCATTTCATTATCCTAAGGACTACCACTTTTACGTCCAGAATTTCACAGCTCTTCCTCTGAACACTACAGTGCCATCACAGAGACATGCAACTTTTGAGTATTCCTTCATTCCTGCAGAGCCCACCACACACACACTCACACGACATGATCTTTTGATCTGATCATCAATCTGAATTACAAAGATTTGAACGGCAATGTTTTCTAAGATGCTGTCTTCAATCAGACAGTTACAGCTATAGAAAGAAGGGACAGGCTAGATGGAGAAACAATTTTTATGTAAATGTTCCTTGCTGTTCTTGGGCTTCTAGGTGTTGTTGGCCTTCATCAACTCCTAGAATCTAGAAAGCACAAGAGACCGGCACAGAAAGTAGAAATGGATGCGTCAAGTCCAAATGATGTTGACATGAGTTGGGTTCCCCAAGCAGGCTGCCCAGGAAGCGGGCACAGAGAGATCGGTGGGGTCTGATGAGTAAATGTTCTTTGTGCAACAACTCAGTCTGTGCTTCCCCTGCCCCGGTGTCTCAGCCTGATGGCAATTAGTGCAGAGAAGTCGTGCCACCATAGAAGGCAACTGCTGCTTAGGTGTGGACTGAGCAATCAGAGTCTGTGGTGATAGCATTGCTGAAAAAGTACTGCATTCGCTTTTCTCAAATAACAAATTTGGTTGTTCTGATTTTCTTCTTAAAAAAAAAACATTAAAATGTGTGGGTGTGAATGTAATAAAAAAATTAACAAAGGAGGTTCTAAGTGCAAGGGTTTCATAGGAGCCTAACTAAATGAGAACACTCAGTGGTGTGGTTTGGTTTTCACGTGCTAAAGATGAAACCAAGGCCCTGTGCATTCTAGGCAAGCGTTCCACCACTGAACCACACCCCAACTCTGTGTTTCATAACAAGGAAAACTGGTAAGAAAGTAAGTAGGATATGAAATACAAATTAAAAGAAAAAAAGAACTTTATTGAAAACATATATTAAAATGAAATGATTTAAAAACTATTATGTAGGGGCTGGAGAGATGGCTCAGAGGTTAAGAGCAGTGACTGCTCCTCCAGAGGTCCTGAGTTCAATTCCCAGCAACCACATGGTGGCTCACAACCATCTATAATTCAGTCTGGTGCCCTCTTCTGGCATGTAAACAGAACACTGTATATGTAATAAATAAATCTTTAAAAAAAAACTTATGTAATGCATTAAAAAATAATAGCATTAGCCTACAATATCTAGGAAATGTAGAATGTAGACCAACTATTAGAAAAACAATTATTGTCGGGCGTTGGTGGCACACGCCTTTAATCCCAGCACTCGGGAGGCAGAGGCAGGCGGATCTCTGTGAGTTTGAGGCCAGCCTGGTCTACAGAGCGAGTTCCAGGACAGCCTCCAAAACAACACAGAGAAACCCTGTCTCGAAAAAAAAAAAGAAAAACAATTATCAAATGGTCTTTATTTCTATTCTGCAGGCTAGTCTCGAACTTGCTATATAGCCAAAGACCACCTTAAGCTTCTGGTCTTCCTGCTTCCACCTCTCCGGTGTCGGAACTGTAGAGTCTAGTTGGTATGCTGCTACAAAGAGAAGGCTAAGTAAGCACTCTACCAACTCAGCTAAAGTCCTAACATGTTTTAGGTCAAAGACAGAAAGATGTTGAAAGCATCGTGTTCCCTTATAGAACCGAGACAGGGATCTCAGAGACTGTTCACTGACTATGAGCACTTGGTGCTCATGAAAAGAACCCGAGTTCACTTAACAACATTGGCCTCAGAAGTCCACTGTGGTGGTACATGTCTGTAATCTTACTTATTTGGAAGAAGCAGGCAGATCTCTATGAGTTCAAGGCTACCAGTTTGTATGGTAAGTTCTAGATCAGCCATGATTACAGAATGGACCCTATCTCAAAAAAGAACAATAAATTTCCAGGCCTGAGCCAGGGGAGGACAGAGATAGTTCCTCCCCCCCCCAGGTCTGAGGGGGGCACACTCTAATT